GTTCAGGATTGTGGCCTCACACAAAGTTCAAAATCTCACGGACGAGCCTGAACCATATGCAGCCTCGATGGGCGACGTTGCCGCAGTTGCTTGCTGCGACATGAGGCGGGCGTGGTTCCCACGCGCCACTCCAGCCATGCCGACCGTCGGCGCCGTCCTTCCCCTACTCTTCTAATGTCCCTCTGGCACACCATCATTCTCAATCGTATCCTCCCTGGTTCGATCCCGCCTCACATGTCTTCGGATCTCTCACATCGCCCACCCCCATTCATCAGCATCATATTTTCCAGCCTTCCCCATCGTGAACAAAAAACACCAAGTAAAATTTTACTTGATTTTTCAATTCATATGTAATTCAATTCTGTAGTCGTTGAGCTATATGAGCTCCCGAGGCCCAGCGAGGGCCCCCAGAGGCCGAAAATGGCGAAAAACCTCCCGTCATGATTTTTTCATTATTCGAGGGGGTCTGGGCCCCAGAGGTCTGGACCGCCCCCACGGGGCCGACTTTTCGTCCCGGCCCGAGCCGCGTTCTGACGGCCCTGGGGGCCCGACAAGGGCCTCCGAGGACCAGAAGCCTTCCTTCACTTAGGGGGCCACAGGCGAGCCCTGCCCCCACCCCCCACGAGTTCTGAGGGGGACCCAGACCCCCTCGAGTAATGAAAAAATCATGACCGGAGGTTTTTCGCAATTTTCGGCCTCTGGGGGCCCTCGCCGGGCCTCAGGAGCGTCAAAAAACGACTCAGGATCACAAACCGGTCCTGGGGAAGGGGTCGAGAACTCTGGGGTCGACGTAATGAAAAAATCATTACGTCGGGGGTCTGGGGAGGGTGGGGTTCACTCCGTTCGGGAGCTCCCGAGCGGAGCGACCCCCCCCCTCCCCCTCCGAAGTCGTGGGGGGTGGGGGCAGGGCTCGCACGTGGCCCCCCATCAGTGATTTTTCTTTGCAGCCCGAGGGTCGGCGTCAACCCAACATACTTATACTATGTGTGCGTCGCCCCTGGGGGGGCGACGCGCGCACAGAGAAGTCCTATAGTATATCCGGCGTGGCGGGCGCTTTCTGGCCACACCGCTCGGGAAACGATATACCACAAGATGGGTATACAGTATGTTCGGGTCAGACACGCGCCTCCAAGGAGGACATCTAGTATTAGTATTTCTCTGTGCGTCTCAGAGGGGGCCCCCAGACATCTGGCGGCTCGATCTTCTCGAGGCACGGGCCCCCGAGCTCTCGACCACTCCCCTGGGACCAGTTTCTCATCCCGAGTCGTTTTTTGCTTGTCCCGAGGCGCGGTAAGGGCCCCGAGAGGCCGAAGCTTATGCAAAACTTCGGTCTCGATTTTTTCGAGGCGACGGACCTTGAGATGTCGGCGCCAATACATCGGGACATCGTGAGAAATCACCACCACCGGAACTCTCGAACCCACCTTTCTGCGGCCTTTTCGAGCCGGATCGATCCGTGAGGGTCCCAGGGCCCGAAGCCCGACGGAAACGCCCGTTGTGAAGAAAGTGCGTCTCCCTGATCTCAGGGGATGTCTGGGTCTGAGTTTGCGGCGCCCGGGCCTGAGGCCCCCCCCCCCCCCCCTGTCGCGGAGGGCCCGCCTGGCGGGGCCGGCCATGCCGCGCAGTTCGGCGGGCCGCGGGCCCGCGCCGCGACGGCGGCGGCGGCGGCTGGCAGCCGGCCTGGCCGCCGTGGTCGCGGCGGCCGTGGCCTTGGCCGTCTGCGCGTCGTCCCATGGCTCCAGGCTGGGGGGGGCGCCTGTCCGAGATTCTAGGCCTCCTGGAGGAACAGGAGGAGGAACAGCAGCAGCAGCAGCAGCAGCAGCAGGAGGAGGAGGAGGAGGAGGAGGAGGAGGAGGAGGAGGAGGAGGAGGAGGAGGAGGAGGAGTGAGGAGGAGTGAGGAGGAGGAGGAGGAGGAGGAGGAGGAGGAGGAGGAGGAGGAGGAGGAGGAGGAGGAGGAGGAGGAGTGAGGAGGAGGGAGGAGGAGGAGCGAGGAGGAAGGAGGAGGGCGAGGAGGGCGACAGCGAGGAAGAAGAGGAAGATGAGGAGGAGGAGGAGGAGGAGGAGGAGGAGGAGGAGGAGGAGGAGGAGGAGGAGGCGGCGCCGCCAGATCGGAGGAGGAGGGGTCTGGGGCTCCAAGACGAGCGACGCCCCCAAAAAAGAGGGTCGTCTGCGCCGACCTTCGTGCGGACGTTGCTCGCGAAGGGTCCCGCGTGAGCGCCCTCGTCTCTAAAGGCGTGCCGCGCTGGCGCAAGCTGGGGCGCAGGTCGCTGTGCCATCTCTCAGGAGAGGAAAAAACACACAGACACAATTAATCCTCGATTCCCCAGAAAATATGGGAAAATACGGGAAGTGCGGGGGAAGACAGAAACCCTGAACATATGGGAAAATATGGGGATTCTTTTTATTTGTGTGTATTTATTTGTGTGTCCTGGGGCCCCTTCAATCTCGCGTAAGACCCGTTTTTGATCGTCGCTCAGATAGGGTCCGATCAGATGGGGTCGGAGGATCGCGCTGCATCGCCGATGCATCGGCGATGTGGCTCGATGTGGATACGATCCTCCGGCCTCGTCTGGGAGGCCTCGAAAGATTCGGGCCCAGACGTGCTGGCGTCGTGGAACAAATTAGGGCCTGCGGCTTTTGCCCATGTTCGTCGCTGGGCCTCGGGACCGTCAAAAGACGATTCAGGGTCGAGACTACAGCCAAGACACTGAAATAAGGAACAGTTTGGATTCGGAAGGGGCTCGATGTTCCTTACGTCATTCCGCGGTTGTTCCTCTAGCCCTTCTCGTGCACCCAGGCTTTTTTGAAGCCGCAGAGGGGCTTCGTTCCTTCTTTAGCGTTCCTCATTTCAGCAGCCCGACTGTATCCGATGTATGTGGTGTCCCAGCACGTCCTCGGCCAGATCGCGGTCCGCGGAGACTGCAATGGAACCCTCGACGGCTGCCGCTCGCTCCGCTCCGCCACGGGCCCCTTCGACTCTGCGACTCATGCCGGGGCTGAGCTTGCGAGTTTTTGGTTTGGACACGTCAAGGCCCACGCGACGGCCAGATATGTCGAGGGACGCACGATCTCGGAACTCGACCGAAGTGGAAGCCGCACTGCCGACGGTGGCGCCAAGGAGGGCGCTGCCCTCGCGAGATCGGCCGAGGAAGGTGCGCTCTGTTCGTGGAAGGCTGCCACCCAGCCGCGAGGCTTGCGTCTCGGTGTTCGGCCCAGCTGTCGGCCTCGATGGGGGCCGCCGAAGCCAGGGGCCATGTCGACACGGATTCGTCGAAACAAGGCGGGCTTGGGTTTCTGCCCCCGTGGGTTTCTCGTCCATGGGAGCTTCCGAGGCGGAGGGCCACGACGGAATCTCCCCCTGCTCCTGCTCCTGCCGGCCCGCTATCACATATATCCTCCCGCCCGCTGGCAGTATGCGAGCACCCCCCCCCGGCAGCGAGGCCTCACGGGCAACTGCAGGGGCCAGCGCGAGATCAGAAGAGGGTCCGGTCTCGCTGGACCCAGACTCGTCTGTATCGTGTGGCGCCGCTGGACCCAGCAGAGCGCGTGACTGCCTTCGCCCGACGGCCCACCCCCTTGTCTCGGAGGAGGAGGAGGAGCAGGAGGAGGAGGAGGAGGAGGAGGAGGAGGAGGAGGAGGAGGAGAGGAGGAGGAGGAGGAGAGGGAGGGAGGGAGGGCGGGAGGGGGAGGGAGGGAGGGAGGGAGGAGGAGGAGGAGAAGGAGGAGGAGGAGGAGGAGGGAGGAGGATCGGGCCCTCAGGGCCCCCGTCGGAGTCGACCGGCGATGGGTTCGGTCGGCACTTCGGGGCGGACCCTGCTGGGCCCTGCGGCTCCGAGGGTCGGTCCCTTTCTCAACACAGGCCGTCGCCCCTCGGCTGGCTCTCGCTCCCGTGCCGTCCGCGCCAGGAGGGAAAGAAGCACCCAGACACAATGAATCGTCGACTCTCCCGAAAATATGGGACAATGTGGGAAGTGGGGGGGAAGACAGCAATCCCCCCCAAAATATGGAAACATATGGGGAATCCTGGGCTTTGTGTGTATTCCTTTGTGTGTCCCTGGGCCTCTTTCATCGCGTCTGGCCCTCCGCCCCCCCGTGGAGAGGCAGAGGCGGTCGGCCGCAAAGCCCTGGGCGGACCGTGCGACGGCCCAGGCCGAGCGAACCTTGCAAGCGCCGAGCAGCGCAACGATTTGGACGGCCTGCCCCCAGGCCCCGCGCCCTCTCTTCCCTCGGCACTCGTCAGGCCCGCCTTCGAGAGGCTGGCCATTCGTGCAGGAAGAGGGGTGGCTGTTTGATTTGTTTTATCTGCGATCGTAAATTCGTTTGGAGGGGTCTCTTGCGGAAGTTCTTCCCTGGTCCGTGCTGCGGGCCGAAGGTGCTTGCCCCTGAGACCCCCATGAACCACGCCATCTTTTCGAGGGCTCACAGCTCCCATAGACTGGCCACCCTGAGAGGAGTTCTGTATTGCACGCATTGTGGCAGTTGCGGCACTGTCAATGCCCAGAATTTGAGCAATGTCCGCCCCATGCCTCCGAAGCAGGTGAGGAGGTGCTCTCCCGTCTGGCGAGAGGGCTGTCCCATAAGAGCGGTGTGCCCTTCCCGCAGTGAGTTTCGGCCGCGCCCTGGCTTGACCAGGTCCCCGCATCTTTGCCAACCACCCACTCCTCCTCCGCCTCCTCCTCCGCCTCCTCCTCCTCCTCGGGGGCCGAAGCTTCGGGCGAAGTGCGATGCGGGGGTGGGGGGTGCCCTGTCTGTGGGCCCTGGCAGGGATGGCGCCCCCCTGCCAGGAGACAAGGAGTTCTCCTTCGATGCCCCCCCCCTCAGTTTCTCCATGTCCGCCCTCGACCTGTCCCTCTATGGGGAGTGAACCTCCTCCTCCTCCTCCTCCTCCTCCTCCTCCTCCTTCTCATCCTCCTCCTCCTCCTCCTCCTCCTCCCGCTCATGGCGATTTTGGCACGGCGTTTGGGCACCACTACTGCCACGGAACCGCTCGGCCACCACCACCGCCACCACTGAGCTTCTCCTGCTTGGCCCAACTCCGCTCAGAATCGGTGCCAGGACCCCTCCTGGGGCCAATCCCGATCCGTTTTCCGACGCGGATCCAGCCGTGGCGACGGCAAGCTTCCAGGAGGCCCAAGGTCCCTCCAGACCCAGCTCGGGCCCGGGCTCGGGCTCGGCTTCTCCGACTCGTACCCCGCCGTGGCGAGGCCCAGCCAGACGGACGGGCAAAGCGTGAGGGAGGGCCGCCGTGGGTCTCGACTGCCCCTTCCCCCCCATGTGTGCGGCCGACCGCCCCAGGATCGCCATGGCGAGGTACCGGACCCGCACGGTCCCGCCGAGGCAGCCCCGGAACGACGCGACGAAAACTTCTGAGCAGCTGAGGCTAGAGCCATCAAAATACTGCGTCAGCTCAGACATCGGGCGTCTCGAACACATCGAGACACAGGTCTTTCATCGTTTTTGGTCTTTTCAGGGCTCTCGCTGGGCTTCGGGGCCGCCGTCAAAACACAGCTCGAGACGAAGCACCGTCAGTCCTGGCGAAGTGGTCCAGAGGTCGGGGGAAACGAGACGCCAGATGTGTGGGAACGTACACTGTCGGATCTCCGCGCTGAATTTTGTCGGATCGGCGTTGGGCCCCCCCGCGCGGCAGGGAGGGGGGGGGTCCAGGACGGTCCAGCACCGATCCAAGAAATCCGCACGGACCTCCGAAAGTTTATGTTTACGCAGTGCTTTGTTCCTCTAGAGGCCTCTACGGGTGAAGAGCGCTCCTCCAGTTGTCATGAGCGCAGAGGAGATGGACCAGCTGGAGTGCGAGCTCGATCTGATGGAGTGCGAGGAGAACGGGGACTGGCTCGGCGCTCAGGACATCCTCGAGGATATGGTGGCGCGCAACGTTACGAGGCGTCGGCAAGCCTGGCAGTCGTCGATGAACGCGCACGCCAAGGCTGGGCGCTGGGAGGACGCCGCCAGACTGCTGGAGGAGACTATCAGCCTGACGCTTGTCCCCGTTCCTGTGGTTGGCACCATCGTGCATCGGCGCCGATCTTGAGGATCCCCTCGGCTTCCGAGGGGGCATCCCCAATATTGCCACCGGCTTGGGTTTGCCAACCTCAGGGGCAGAGATAACCTAGACCCCCGATGTCATGATTTTCGTCACAGCGTCGACCCCCAGAGGCCTCGACCATTCTCAAGGACCAGCCCTTCAATCCTGAGTGATTTTTTGACGGCCCGGGAGCCCAGAGAGGGCCCCGAAGACGGCCAAAGACCGTCCGTGGTGTTTTTTTTTGTCCGGGGCTTGGCGAGGGCCCCGAGGAGCCGAAGACCATCGCACGTGCTCCGTCGTGATTTGTTCATGGCCCGAGGGGTCTGGGGAGCTCGAGGCTCGCCAGGAGATGGAGCGGGCAGGGGTGCAGCCCGACCAAGAGGCGTTCCACGCCGCGCTCGAGGCCTGCGAGGGGCAGAATGCGCCGCACCAGGCCGCGAAGCTCTACCAGGATGCGGCCAGAGGAGGAGGAGGAGGAGGAGGAGGAGGAGGAGGAGGAGGAGGAGGGAGGAGGGAGGAGGGAGGAGGAGGGAGGAGGAGGAGGAGGAGGGAGGAGGAGGAGGAGGGGGAGGAGGAGAGAGGAGGAGGGAGGAGGAGGAGGAGGAGAAGGAGCTAGCCCAGAGGAAAGTAAGAAGGACAATGAGCGACTCTCAGGGTCGGGCCTGGCCGACCCCTGGGCACACCGACCCCTTCCGTGGCGATCCCCCCCTCCCCGCTCCGAGGCGTGGGCATGCGGCCACGGGAGAGCCTCGAGGGCGAGGGGGCTCGTTCCTCGGAAGGGGCCCGCCGCCGAGGGGGCCGGTCAGGCCGCGCCCGGGGCTCCGGGGCCTCTCTGGGGCGTGCACGGCTCGGGGATTCCAAACGGCTCGGGGACCACATCGTGAGGCGAGCCGCTGGGTATGTCTGGGGGGCCAGCACGAGGTTTGAGGCCAGAAGCGCACCACGCTCGCCGCTCGCCCCCCTTCACTCGACGCCCACACTCGCGCCCACACTCCGCGCCGACACTCGCACCACGCGCTCGCCCCTCGCACTCGCGCCCACACTCTGCGCCCACAGACTGCGCCCACAGTCTGCGCACACTCTCGCTGAGCTCATGGAGCCAGGGGGGGTCCAGGTGGACCGCACGGCTCTGGAGCTCGGGGCCGCTCCGTGCGGGACGGCCCTCGGATCTGACTTGAGAGCCGACGTTGCGAAACCATTGCAACATCGTGGAAAATCACGACCAGAGACGGAGACCCTCCTCCTCCTCCTCGTCGCCCTCCTTCTCGCCCTCCTCCTCGCCCTCCTCCTCGCCCTCCTCCTCGCCCTCCTCCTCCTCCTCCTCCTCCTCCTCGCCCTCCTCCTCCTCCTCGCCCTCCTCCTCGCCCTCCTCCTCGTCCTTCCTCCTCCTCCTCGCTCCTCTCCTCCTCCTCCTCCTCCTCTCCTTCCTCCTCCTCTCCTCCTCCTCCTCCTCCTCCTCCTCTCCTCCTCCTCCTCCTCCTCCTCCCCCTCGTCCTCCTCCTCGTCCTCCTCCCTGGGCGGCATTTCTCGAGCTGGGTCGGTTTGTGGTGGCCCGGGGGCCCAGAAGCGGGCGAAAGCGTCCGTGGGGAAAAATCTGCGGCGCCAGGACCTCCCGAGCTCCGCGAGAGCCTCGGAGGAGGCGGAGGAGGGGGAGGAGGATGAGGAGGAGGAGCATGAGGAGGAGGAGGAGGAGGAGGAGGAGGAGGAGGAGGAGGAGGGGGAGGAGGAGGAGGAGGAGGAGGGGGAGGAGGAGGAGGAGGAGGAGAAGGAGGGGGAGGAGGCCTCGGAGGTCACCCGCGGTGGCGCGAAGACAATCGGGCGTCGCGGTCTGGGCCCTTCTCCAGAGGGCGCGGCGCGAGGACGCGAGGGCGCGAAGATAATTACAGGGGCGCATCGCGGGGCGTGATGAAGAGGACGATGACGAGGAGGAGCGAAGACGGTAACGATGACGATGACGAGGATGACGACTACGATGACGATGACGATGACGACTACGATGACGATGACGATGACGACGATGATGATGCTGATGCTGATGCTGATGCTGATGATGATGCTGATGATGCTGCTGATGATGTTGATGTTGATGATGCTGATGCTGATGATGATGATGCTGATGATGATGATAATGAGGATGAGGATGAGGACGAGGATGAGGATGAGAATGAGGATGATAATGAGGATGATGATGATCATGGTGATGGTGATGGCAATGTTGATGGTGATG